TCATTTAAACAGCCGGGGGAGTCTCCGGAGGGAAAACCCATTACGGATGTCGACAGCTTGTCCGGAATTGTACGGCTCAAATCTCCGGAGAAAGGCAAGTGCCGCTGAAAGTGTAATTAAGAGGAGCTTAAAGCCAAATGCAGCGGATAAGCGGCCGCCAAAATAGACAGCAACAGGGCTGCGAAAAAAGGACGCAGGGAGAGCGGCAGGAAGTGTATCCTGCAATTGCTGAATGATTTTCCTCTTTTTCCCAATAGTTTGCTTCCATTTACAAAGCTCGTTCCCGGGGCTGTGTGGTATTTTATTTACAATGCCAGTCCTAGTGCCAAAAAGTCGAGGGCAATAAATGTTTTATTGCTGCCTTGATTTCGCAGGACCACCCGCCCGTGGAGAGCTCAGCAAAAAAGTGCCTCGATTTAAAAAGTCACAATATTTTTCACTAGAAATTCATGGTTCAATTCAAATAAATATTTAAAATGAGTTCACAACAACAAGGCAAACAAATGCTGGCAAAAATTATTTTCAAATAAACACTTTAACGAGTCAAAATATAAAATCAATAAACTACGTTTTAATTTCATTCAATTCCTGTTTATAGTTAGTGCTAGCCATAATCCACAGAGGAAAATAAACACCGGCAAAGAGAATTTAATTACTCCAAAAGGAAAATGAAATTTTATATGATTTTCCACACTGCTTTTAATTAAATTTCTAATGAGGGACAGACAGTGGCATCCTTGGAGGGGCTAGTGGAGAGAGCTGAGGGCCATCGAGGTGTATGATGAACATTTAATTAGCTAACAACTCCACTGGCTGTCCACTTTACGGCGAAATGCTGCGAAAGGACCCTCGCTCTCACCGTGACGAGGGCCGTTCAACGAGTTCGTCGAGTAGCAGGCCCTCGAGCGTGCCAAAACATTTGCATTTGGCAATTAATTCGCAAAATAAACTCAAATCAAATTAAATAAATACAGATATTTGCTGTTGACAGGACACACAGAATCACCCAAGGGCAGGAAACCATTTCCCACAGGGCGGTACTGAATGAAATTCGAAATGGCCATAAATATTCCAGAAGTCATCACAACCAAAGCAAACACTCTGCAGCATTGCCGACATCCAAGTAATTGGATTTGCCTTTTTCTGGTCTTGAACGCCTGATTTAAATTCAAATTAAAGCGACTTCTCACAGCCCTAGGTGAGCTTGAAGACGTCTTAATCTTTGGCAAGTTAAAGAGGAGAGAGTGTCATAAATCTGACGACTTGTGAGATCTGGCAACAAGGAATAATCTGACTATTAAGGTCCTTTCGGACATTTTCATTTCAAGTGACGAGCGACGAGCGTTGAAAGCCGGGCAAAAAAGCAAAGAAATATCTCAGTAAAAGTTAAGTAAAGTGCGGAAATCTCAGTCGAGTGAATGGCAAATGGGAAGGACACCAACTGTTGGCTGGAGAAGGACATCACAAGGATGGTCAGGGAACGTTATGATTTTGCAATAAAGCAAAGTAAGTTGTGTAAGGGAGGAGGAGGTTGGAAATCGTTTCCCCTTCCTGCAGTAAAGATATATAAAAAGCCAATTGTATTAACGCATCCTGCGGACTGGCAATTCGATTCAGAAGCCACTTTCCCAGCCATTATCTCCAACTGTTATCGATCGGCATTCGCTTTGCATTTTCATTTCACAAAATTCCATTATGAGATTTTGCCAATCGTTTTATATGCCACTTGCCATAATATCCCAATTAGCATTCGCGGCATGAAACCAATTTCAAATTGACCGCGTAAAGCCGTATTATTTTTCCACCTATATACGATTTCAATTAAATTATTTTGGCAAACAGCAGCCGGCCTAATTAGTTTCCAATTGCAAAAGAAAAGTGCAAATAATCGCCCAGTTGTTTGCAAAACAGAATTTTCATTAATAAATTAATATCTGAACAGGCTGGCGAATAAACAATTGGAATGAAGAGATAAATTGCTTTTGGCCTGGCTAGAAGCTGTGACAACATTCGCCCGAAGCGTGTCTTAACTCCTAATTGGTCCGAAATCCTTTGCTGAATACAAATAGAGTCCTTGGATGAGGACTAATGGTCGCGTGAATGCTGACTCAGAGTGGCTGTGAAAGTGAAAACCATATTCTGGGAGTGCTGGAGTCTAGAGACCCAAAAAGAGAAACCACCCAACCACTTAATCAGTGATGTGAGCTCTGCAAACTGTCGGTTGCACTTTCCGCTGCAGCAACCAGAGCAAACCACAGCAAACCACACGTGTGACAGTCCAACCACAAAGCCCCACCGATATGCAAAAGGCGATTAAAGATTTTTCACTTTAATTGCTCCATTTTTCAGTGCACTTGAAAAACCGAATTGTGCCAACTTTGGCCATTATATTTTATTTATTTTCAGTGTGGAAACAGTTTGTTTAGGCCGTGAATTATTCACCAAATTTCATGGCAAGGTAGCGAAAAACTGCACGAAAAGTTTGCACCACTCATCGCACCAGCATTCCCCGGGATGTAATTAATTTGAAACATGCAGGGAATCTCCTGCTCCCCGGTCTCCGGACTTTGGTGTATGCAAAACTTTTGCCAGTGGTGTGGCTGGAGGGACGGTGTGCCTGATAAATTGAATCAAGTTGCAGGATATCTGGTAGCCCTCAGCACTACACGCCAGCAAATTGCAATTAATGGATTTTGCAATTGAAATCAGGTCCTGCAGGAGAGTTGATAACAATAAATCCTCACTGAATATGTTTGCTGCCTCTTGATACTAATCTTTTTGGCAATGTCCTCAAAAAGTGTACCTGGATAAGTGATTCGAGTGAGAAACATGAGACTCCGACTCCATTTAGATCCATTTGGAAGCCAACTGCCAACTGAAGTTTATGGCAGAATAATGGATATAAAAACTCTGAAATAAGAACCGGAAAATGGAGCTGGGGACTAGTGGTTTTTATGCCACAATTTATTTCCAGCTATTAGTACAGATGTCAGAATTCGTGAGCTCTAATTGAAAATGAATTGCTTTTTGGGTTCTTAGTTTTAAGCTCTCTTAAATACACTATTTTATTTTTCAGTGAAATAAGGGATTAGAGGGCTTTGGTAGTTATGTAGTTTAAATACCAAAAGAAAAAACTATGTGAATGAAATATTTACTGCTTGTTGTCACATCATTTTTAAGAATTTGTGCTAAACTTTGCTCTTTATCCTTCGAAGGTATTTGATTTCAGAAGCTTTCAGAAAAAACACTCAATCAATTGGTAATGACAGGCCTGAAAGCACATTTAATACTCTGCCTGGCACATTAAATATTGAGGCTTCTCCGACTTTGATGGCTGACATTCGAGAAGTTTGGTGAAAATTCATTTTCCTTTTAGCCGGCTTTTGTGCTTTGGGTCAAGAACCTCGGACTAGAAGCAACAGCACACAAATTGCTGGTTAGAAACAAAAGGTAAAAGCCAGGAAGCCGAAAAGGCAAAGCACACTTTTTGGGGTGGACCTGAAGAGATGTCCCAAGGATAATCTTTTAAACCAAGTTCCTAAAATTACAACCACAATTGAAAATATAAGGGGATATGTCACATAGTTTATAAAAATATGAATTACGGAGATTTAAATTCAAAATTATACTTTATAAGGACATCCACCTTAACCCAAAAAGCGGTGCGTCATATCCGGTTCTGATGGGTGGTATTTGGTTTGGTTTTCGTGTGAAATAAAGTTTGAGCTTATTCCTGGGACCTGGAGTTTATTTCTTGTATATTATGCTTACATGTTGAAGAGTACAAACATTTTATTCGCCTTTGGACTGGGAATAAAATCGATTTTCAGGCTCTTCATGTCGCCAAATGGAATTCCAGAGCCAACAGTAAACACGAAGACAATACTAAATTCTATTATTGTTCACAATTCTAGTTGCCTGTCTGTCTGGCTGGGTCCTTTGTGTCCTGCCAGTGTGTGTGTGTGTTGGCTTTAACGGTTGCCCATACACTCAAAAAAAAATTAACCCTAAGATTTAGAAATTCGCCCTATTTTTGTCTTCAACGGCACCGCACCATAAAATTTAGGGTAAATTTTTCTAAAATTAATGGCATTTCCTTTCTAAAATATAAGGAAAATTGCCCTAAAAATAAGAAAAAAATTTCTAAAAAATAGAAAAAAATTCTTAAATTTAGGGTAAATTTTTCTAAAATTAATGGCGTTTCCTTTCTAAAATCTAAGGCCAATTTCCCTAAAAATAAGAAAAAATTTCTAAAAAATAGAAAAAAATTTCTTAAATTAAGGGTTTGTTTTTCTAGGTTTTAGAAAAAACTTTTCTAAAACTAAGGAAAAAATGTCTTGATTTCATGGCGATTTTTCTAAGCCCCAGGGCAAGGCGCCCTAAAATTAAGATACCTTTCTACAATATATACAAATATTTCTTAAATTAAAGGTGACCTTTTCTAAATTCTAGAAATTTTATTTCTACATTTTACATTACATATTACATCATACATTTACATATTTTTACATTATTTTTACATTTACATTTGTTTTCTTTGATAGCTCTCTTCAGTTCTTACTTTCACATAACACTTTATTTATGGTATATAATAAATTTGACCCTCGAATCTTGAATTGTATACTTGACTTATAAATTTCCAGTAGCACCATGTTTTCCCCTTTTGGTGGGGACTAGAATAGCGTGAATCATTTGCGTCCTTTTTATCTGTGGAAAATAACGTCAATTAATATTGCGATATACAATTAATACAATTAATATATTAATATACTATTTAATCGTGAATGTTTTAAAACATCTTTTAAGGTAGTGTAATTATTACCTTCGCTTTGTTGAGGGAATGTTTTATTAAGATAAAACTCTGGACTTCCTTTTAACGAAATGAGAGAAAAAATTGCCACAATCTAAGAATTAATTCAATAAATGCATTAAATAAAACAAAATTAATGTATAAAAAATATTACCAATTTGTCTTCACAATTCTACTTAAGAATGGGCAATTCCTCCTAAGCTAAGTGTAGCTACACTTGTATCGTCCTAGAAAAAGAAACTTTTGCGCCACTCAAAAGTAAGATCAAATTTTGCGTTTGCAAGGCTAAGCTTCACCTCTTCACTATTGAACATCAGCCATATTACCTGAAAATGTATTTGGGAAATTATTTTTAACCTTTGAAGTGGGGCGTAATTTACCAGTTGATAACTTTTTCTCCTTAGCCTTCAAATGATAAATTTTGCCATATGCAGCAGACCTTCTGGCTTTTTTCCGATGTTAAGATCTATCATGTCTTTCCACAATTAGCTCTAGATTAATTTAATTAGTAATTAAATTAAATTTCTTATGAAATTAGTAACGTTTTTAGTAACTTACCAGCGAAAAAAAAGAAAAGGCTTCTCAGTTTATCTTTTTCAGCAAGGAATCAATTAGCACTTTTTAAATAAACTTTTTAATAAACTTGTAATGTCAACATCTTAGAGATAGTTTAAATATCGTTACATTATTTCTTAACATGATTTTTTGAATTTAACATGTTAAAACTTTATACATAAAATATAATATAGATCAGTATGCATTTATCTGCCCGTGCTCTGCCACACACACAGTATAAGTGTGTGAAACGTCATGACGCGTCATGCTCAGAGCCTACTTTCTGCTATACTAATACTAATGCGTTAAAATCATATCAATGTATTGGGTGCCGACCACGGACAGAGATAAAATATAAAAAAAATTATATATTAAAAAAAATATTTATATTTTCTAGGGTTACCTAAATTAAAGGGTAACACTGTGCATTTTTAGAAAGGAATTTCTATATTATAGAAACAGTTTTCTATTTTGTAGGGTTAGTATCTTTTTTAGAAAGGAATTTCTATATTGTAGAAACAGTTTTCTATTTTTTAGGGTTAGTATCTTTTTAAGAAAAGGATTTCTATATTGTAGAAACAGTTTTCTATTTTTTAGGGTTAGTAAATTTTATGGTGAGCCTTTCTATTATTAAGAAAATATTTCCTGAAAATAAGTCATAATTTGCCTTAATTATAGAAAAGTTTTCTTGATTTTAGGGCGATTTCAGTTTATGGCGACTATTTCTATATTTGAGAAAAACTTCTTTGATTTAAGAAATTTTTCTTGTTTTCAGAAAATTTTTTCTAGAAACTAGAAATTTTTTCTTGTATTTAGAAACAATTAAGTTTTATGGCGAATTTCTAAATTTAAGGGTAAATTTTATTTTGAGTGTAGTTACAGTGGACACCAACAAGAACGGGTTCCGGCCACTGTCCAAGCCAAAGACTTTATTAATCCTTTGTGTATATTTAGCGGCCACTTTATGAGTTGACGGCCATATATCTTCTGGTTGATTTATGCCGAGAGCTATTTGGACTCCTCTGCTCCATTTATTTTGTTGCCTTCATTCTGTTTTTATAACAGAAATAAATTTTTGTTTATTTTAACTTGAAGGAATAGCCCCCAATGATTTTCTCGAGAGTTTGCACCGAAATCCCTTCCCACTTATGTATGTCCTTTTGCATTTTCTGTATAAAATGAATTTCTTTTTGGTATTAAATATCTCCCAAGTTGTTGTAACTTTAGGATCGGTATTGCTTGATTATTTATTGGGTTGTTGTGTTTCAATTGCATTTGGAATTGAAATTGCTTGAAATTATGTTTTCATGATGTCCTGCCATTAAAAAGCCTCAGCGAGCTGTGAAAAGCTTCTGCATGTTTTATAAGCCATTAAGTCACAAAATCGAATCGTCTCGAAGGAAACAGAGCTCCAATACTTGCCAACTGTATTCCGAAATCGACGAATTCGATTTATATGCGGCATATACACGGAAGGATATGGGTGCAAGGATGGTGGGATTCCAACCCCCAACATAATTAGGGCCAATGACAACCCTATCCGGCGGCAACCACTGCACTACCCGAGGCTTTAGAGGTTAAGTTTCGATTTATTTGGACGCCGTTTCCCGGGCAACCGACGCCCAGGTGGCACGAGGCAATGGGCATAACAAAACCCTTGGAAAAGGCGTTTAGGCTGGCACCTAGTTTGGGCCTGAAGTGGTCAGATTTGCGGCCAAAAAGGAACCATTTCGAATGGCTGCAGGGTTCGGGGGAAAGGAACTTTCCAGTTTGTTTTTCTTTAAAGAAGTTTTGGCTTTTTTACCTTTGTTGAAAATTCTTCGCAAATCTGCCTAAAATAACAAAATATTTCGTTGAAAAAAATATAACATTATTTAACGTTAAGGATACTTTGGCCTTCGGATACTTGTTTTTATCCAAATCGAAACAGCATTTTAAAGAATATTTTACGAAGAATCACGAATGCTGAGAGGAAAAATAGATTTAAAATTTAACATTTTTTTTAATTACTACCTGTTATGATTAGTAGATTGACTCATTACTAAAAAACTTTTTTATTCTGTTTTTTTAAGTTTTATTGTTCTCATATTTGATGCATATTATCAGGCATGCTGTTCGTCACCTACTTAAACAACAGTGTACTGAGATATTGTGTCTTGATTTCGTATAAATATGTACTTCAAACATAGTGTTCTTAAGGCGAAGAAATTATTATATACTGCCTTCAGCCGCAGCTAAAATTAGCTAAAGAGAACATTTTTTAATTTCTCGAGCGAATATTTCCAGGAATTGCAATCACGTTATGAAACATTTGGAAATTACTTTATAAAAACATACCATTTGTGAGATTAATTTAGAAAGATAAGCTCTTAAGCTCGTAAATATAAGCTGGAACAGAATCTGCAGTACAAGCACTTTGGGAAAATCAGACGACAAACACAAGGCCATAGATCTCCCCCGGAATACTTAAAAAAATGAAATTCCCAAGTCTGCTGGTTGGCTTTGTGGCATTCTTCCTCTATATTTGCAGGGGAAAATCAGAGGAAGGATCATTTCAGCTTCAAGAGGTAAGTTTATAGATTCAAAATAATTTGTAGTAAATGTATATTGCTTATCAATAGAAAATAAGTAGCGAGGAGGATGAAGTTTTAAGCATTGATAAAAATTTGGCTGAGTAAGTAATAATAAGTGAATTACACTATGTGATGTACATTAAGTGACCTATGTTTACTTTTAGCTTGAAAACTAGACTAGAGAACCTTCAAAAGAAGAGAGATAGCGTTGTCCTAGTCGATTATGATTTCTATCCCACGTCTTGCCTTCATAAAAATATAAAGCACAATACGACGCTTATGGTCAAAGTCCCGGGACATGCTCCGTTTCCAGTTCTCTGTGACTGCGAGCTGGTCGGTCTTGGCTGGACGGTGATTCAGAGACGTCGGGATGGATTGGTCAACTTCTACCGGGATTGGAACGATTATAAGAACGGATTCGGAAGCCTGGGCGGCGACTTTTTTATTGGCCTGGAGAAGCTGAATTTGCTAACAAAATTACATCCCTTTGAGTTATACATTCATATGGAAAACTTCAAGGGTATAACAAAGTTTGCCCAATATGACGAGCTTGTTATTGGCGATGAGTCCGAAGGATTCGCCTTAAAGTTCCTGGGAAGTTACACAGGCACCGCCGGCGACTCGCTCTCCTACCACAAGGGACACAAGTTCTCAACTTTTGACCGCGACAATGATAACCTGATTTATCAGAATTGTGCTCAATACCACACTGGCGCTTGGTGGTACAACGGTTGCTTACAGAGGTAAATTAATTTAGATAATGTATTGCTTTTTTACCTATTTATTTTTACATTTCAAGTAATTTGAATGGCCAATATTTAGACTATTCGAGCCCGATCACCACTATACCTACCGACAACAGCCGATACATGAAATGGGATTCATTTGAGAAGCAGCCCCTAAAATTCGTTCAGATGATGATTCGCCCCAAATTTGGTTGCTTTTAAATATGCTAGCTTCAATGCTTTTTAAAAAGTTAGAATCGGCTTGAGCTATGATTCATAACTTATGAACATTTTTAAAATAATAAATTTATATATTTTATTTTTATGTATTTTATATGTATTTTTATGAGACAAGTTCAATTGTGCAATGCATTTCATATCAACTGGTCAGACAGAATCAAATTGAAAATGGGGTTTCCCCTGAGATAGAGAGGCTTCAACAGTGATAAGCTATAATATACATATTTATGTACATAGTATTGAATGAGAGACTTTCAAACTGATAAGATTATGATGATGACCTCATAGGTAATATAAGCTGAAATTGATTTTGCGGTTCAAGCAGTTTGCAAAAGTCAGGCGATAAGTAAAGACAAGCAAGAGATCTTCCCTCGGTTTGGATAAAAAAAAATGAAACAATCAAGTCTCTCAATAGCCCTCGTGGCATTCTTCCTCTGTGTATGTAGGGGGACATCAGAGATCGAAACACCCCTGCAGCTTCAAGAAGTAAGCTTATAGATCAAAAATACTTTTCATTAAATTTATATTTTCACGCCAATCATTAGTCATTTAATTGTGCAGTGGATTTGGTTTCAATAGTTGATAAACTATTGGCTGAGTAAGTAATCAAGTGACTGATAAGCACAAGCGAAGTTCTTATGGTATATAACCCAAACTGGCAGCTTGGAGAGTCGTCGGGAGGAGCTTCAGAAGATAAAGGATAGTGTTGACACAGCCGATGATAAGTCCTACCCCACATCCTGCCTTCAAAAATATATAAACCACAATACGACGCTTTTGGTGAAAGTCCCGGGACATGCTCCGTTTCCAGTTCTCTGTGACTGCGAGCTGGTCGGTCTTGGCTGGACGGTGATTCAGAGACGTCGGGATGGATTGGTCAGTTTCTACCGGGATTGGAATGATTACAAGTCTGGATTTGGAAGCCTGGGCGGCGACTTCTTTATTGGCCTGGAGAAGCTTAACTGGCTAACAAAATCGCAGCCGTTTGAGTTGTACATTCATATGGAAAACTTCAAGGGTGTGAAGAAGTTTGCCAAATACGACGAGTTCACGATAGGCGATGAGTCCGAAGACTTCGCCCTAAAGGTCCTGGGAAGTTACTCAGGCACCGCTGGCGACTCGCTGACCTACCACAAAGGACAAAAGTTCTCAACCTTTGACCGCGACAATGATAGCCAGAAAGATGAAAATTGTGCTCAATACCACATTGGCGCTTGGTGGTATGATGGTTGCTTACAGAGGTAAATTAAATATTAATAACATATGGTTTTTACTAATTTATTTTTACACTTCAAGTAATCTAAATGGACAATATCTAGACTTTGCGAGTCCGATAACCACTATTCCAACGGACAATACCCGGTACCTTAAATGGAATACATTTGAGAGGCAGCCCCTAAAATTCGTTCAGATGATGATTCGCCCCAAATTCGGTTGCTTTTAAATATGCTAGCTTCAATGCTTTTAAGTCATTATTAAAAATTATAATGGGCTTGAGCTATGAATCATTACTTATGAACATTTTTTAAATAAATAATAAACCGATTTAATATTTTTTGGTGAATAAATTTTTCAACTCAAGCTGATAAATATATATTTATATTATACAAGTTTAATTGTGCAATGAATTTCTTATCAACAGGTCAGACAGAATTAAATAGAAAATAGGGTTCCCCTGAAATAGAGAGGCTTCAACAGTGATAAGCTATTATATACATATTTATGTACATAGTATTGAATGAGAGACTTTCAAACTGATAAGATTATGATGATGAGGTCTTAGGAAATATAAGCTGAAATTGATTTTGCGGTTCAAGCAGTTTGCAAAAGTCTGGCGATCAGTAAACACAAGCAAGAATGAAATCCTCAAGTCTCTCAATAGCCCTCGTGGCATTCTTCCTCTGTGTATGTAGGGGGACATCAGAGATCGATTCATCCCTGCAGCTTCAAGAGGTAAGCTTATAGATCCAAGATACCTTCTAGTATCTTCTAATTTATACCTTCTAATTTATATTTTAACTCCAATCATTAGTCATTTAATAGTGCAGTGGATCTGGTTTCAAGTGTTGATAAACTATTGGCTGAGTAAGTAATTAAGTGACTGATAAGAACAAATAAAGTACTTATGGTATATAACCCAAACTGGCAGCTTGGAGAGTCGTCGGGAGGAGCTTCAGAAGATAAAAGATAGTGTTGACACAGCCGATGATAAGTCCTACCCCACATCCTGCCTTCAAAAATATATAAACCACAATACGACGCTTTTGGTGAAAGTCCCGGGACATGCTCCGTTTCCAGTTCTCTGTGACTGCGAGCTGGTCGGTCTTGGCTGGACGGTGATTCAGAGACGTCGGGATGGATTGGTCAGTTTCTACCGGGATTGGAATGATTACAAGTCTGGATTTGGAAGCCTGGGCGGGGACTTCTTTATTGGCCTGGAGAAGCTTAACTGGCTAACAAAATCGCAGCCGTTTGAGTTGTACATTCATATGGAAAACTTCAAGGGTGAGAAGAAGTTTGCCAAATACGACGAGTTCACGATAGGCGATGAGTCCGAAGACTTCGCCCTAAAGGTCCTGGGAAGTTACTCAGGCAACGCTGGCGACTCGCTGACCTACCACAAAGGAAAAAAGTTCTCAACTTTTGACCGCGACAATGATAACCAGATTTATCAGAATTGTGCTCAATACCACATTGGCGCTTGGTGGTATGATGATTGCTTAAACAGGTAAATTAAATATTAAAAACATATGGTTTTTACTTATTTATTTTTACACTTCAAGTAATCTAAATGGACAATATCTTGACTATGCGAGTCCGATAACCACTATTCCAACAGACGATACCCGGTACCTTAAATGGAATTCATTCGAGAGGCAGCCCCTAAAATTCGTTCAGATGATGATTCGCCCCAAATTCGGTTGCTTTTAAATATTTTTACTGAATTCCGCTTTATTAATATACTCTTTCTTTTAATAAAATCGGATTTTATATCATCTGTCATTAGGAATTTCTTACCTGTTGTTCCATTTTCTGATTGCGGCTGCTAATTGCAGACATTTTGTCAAATTTTATCTGAAATACCCGAATGGCAGGAGAAACACCTATATGATTTTACTTTTTCTATGCAGAATTTTCTTTTCTTTTCACAAAGTTACGCGACCGGCATTTGGGATGACAGCTGTTGGGCAATGTTTTTTTTTTAGATTTAAATGAAAGGAAATCTTTTACGCGATTTTGAATGCGAACGATGGCAGCAAAACAGAAAAGAACCAGAAGAATTGCCCGCTCGCTCGTTCGCTCACGAACACCTGGTGGTGGTGTATCTGATAGTTTGAATTTTTGTATCTTGCCGTTCGTGGCTCGTGTAGCTTGTAGTTTGTAGCTGTGCTGGCGGCGCCCGACGGCGGCCACGAGGGGATGAAGGAAGGCACAGACTGACGGGAACAGCCGGCTCTTCCTGTCACCGCGATCGCTTGATTTTCTCTAGGTGGCTCCCGAGTCTTGGCACTGATGACTAGAGTTTGTTAGCTGGAGGTGTCTTTTAAAAGAGTATCTCAATAGGAAACACTGTCGCGATTAGCAAATCAATCGGCGCGATTGTTTGGTATTTCAGCGAATATTGGCGCCTATTTTTTGGTAGAGACGATAAAGCGATGTATCCGGAATGTCCGAACCGTACGCTGCCAAAACAACAACTACCCTTTCACGCTAACAACTGCCAAAGGTTGGAACATCGTGGAAATGGAACACAGCCGACAGAACTTCCGAATGCGCTCGTCCTGTCGTGTGCCAGAATTGGGAGAGCTAGCAGTTCGTTTTCTCTCTCACTCAGCAGCGTGTCCCCTCCGCCTCCTGACTCAACCCGACAGATGTGCAGCTGCCGAATGCATTTGGATTTCGTCCTGCGTCTCGCTCTCTCTGTCTGTCCCCCTTCCTGTTCCTTCTTGAGTCCTGCTCCTGTTCACCAGGATTACCAGCTACATTCCCCTGCAAATAGAACGGCTCTAACATATGCATTTGATAATTGCATTCCTTGGAATGGACACCCAAAGAATATTTAAGATAAATTTCACCAAAAATCTCCAAAAGGATATATTTTATCGTTTTCTTTTATTTAATTAACTGTAGCCTTATTCTAGATGAAAAGTAAAAGTAAATAACAAACTAATAATAAATAGAGTAGCCGATGCTCTCGCAGAACAGCCCGGTCGTAAATTCGATTGAAATTGCCTTGTCATTTATGAGGTCCTTACTGGTTAACTGTCACATTTTTGGCATCCCTTTCAGGGCAGATCCTTGCCAAACGGTCACCCAGACTCTAGAAAAATCGGTGCTTCTTCTTTTTCTTGTTCTCTACCGCGTCCTGCGGCTGAGGCTCCACGGACACCTGACGACGTGGCAGCAGGGGTGGTGGACTGACATTGTCTGCGGAAGCATTGGAGACCGGAGACAGCGGACGCGGTGCCCGCAGGATTGAGGTGGGAGGTGGTGGCGGGGGACTGGCTGCTCCGCCATTTCCCTCCTGACCATCCTCCTCGATCCGATCTAGTCGTGAGCCATGTACTGATGCCAGCTCCGAGGGCGTCTTCGCCTGGGAGCCGGTCTCATCGCCAAACTCGCTGGCCATGTTCATGCCGATGGTGGCGCCCACCTTAGCGCTGGCGTGCTTGAAATGGTCGCTCAACTTAATCTGCACCACATTGATGAACATGGAGGTCAGGGCCAGGCCAAAGATCAGGTAGATCATGCTGACCATCATGTATATCGGGTTGGTGGGCACCAAGTCGCCGAAGCCGATGGTGGACATCGAGATGAACATGTAATAGAAGGAGTCCAAGAGCGGCCAATCCTCCAGAATTCTGTAGCAGAAGGTGCCCAGCAGCATGTATGAGACGAGCAGCAGGGTCGCCACTGATATGGGCAGGTTGAACTCGTCGTCCACCTCGAAAGTTTCCGGGTACGGTGATGTGGGTGTCTCCGGATGGGAAGTGGCCAGGGATCGTCCTGCCTCGGCATCCGCCTCTGCGTTATTCTCCTCGTTATCCTCGCCGGAGTTGCCAAAGTACTTGCTGGGACGTCGGATGGCGAAGTCGTAGACCGTATTGATGCCTGTCATCGCATCTCGGATTTGCTGTTGCTTCCGGATCCGACGGCAGGAGCGCGTGTAATAGAGTCGACGGACATAGGCCCACAGGAACTTGACGCTGCGTGTGAAGAGCTTTCCCAAATCGGCGAGGACAATCAGGAAGACGGGGATCCCAATGATGGCATAGATGATGGTAAGGGATCGGCCCAGGGGCGTCTTTGGAGTGATGTGGCCGTAACCTGGAGAAGAAAATAAGAGAATATACCTATTAGTATTCTTTCTATACTCCACAATTATTAATAATCTATGAATGTAGAATATTATATCCTTAAAACGAACTACAAACACCCTTTTGCTACATCCATGTTACCTATTGTTGTTATTACGGTCCAACAGAAGATGAAGCAATTGACAAAGTTCCAGGACCTCTGTCCTGGAAAGCGCCTCAGTCCCAACTCGGCCAGCGTGTTCAGTTCATCCTCGAACTTGCGTAACTTCTGGCGTGCCAAGGACTTCCAGTCATCCTCTCTGGCGAAAATATACAAAATAATCACTCGCAACTTGGCTTGTGGATGCTCTCTCCAATCCTACCTCATGTTGTGGCTGACATCCCAGAGATTGTCAATGAAATCACGCTTCACCTTGCGCACCTGGCACTTGTAGATGTCCTCGGAAGCGCCCTCCGTGTATCGGAACATGAGGCCTCCAAATCCCAGCAACATGGCCAGGCAGATGCAGTGGGAGACGCACTTGTTCCGTATCAGACGCATCTCCTCAACACGCTGGGGATAGTCCAACTTGAGGCGCCGCCACTCGTGTCTGGCCTCCAGGCGAAGATGGTACAGAAATGCTCTCGACACTAGCTTCTCTGGAAGTGGTTTTGTGGTCACATCTACAATGACTTCTTCTTTTGGGATCTTCTTTTTGCGCCGGAAGAGTCCTTTTAGGCGCTCGAGGAAAGTGGGCTTGGTCTTTGCTTCCGGGGAGTAGTCTTCAGGCGCACTAGGTATATCCTCCTTCTCCTCTGTTTCCAGCTCTGGTTCTGGATCTTCGTGCTCTTCGGGTGTGGGTATGACTTCCTCCTTAGGCGCATTTCTTTCCAGGCTGGCGGATCGGTTAGCACGGAGTGGCCTCTCCAGACTGGAGCTCCGTTTCGCTTCGGACTTTGATGGCTTCTCCTCCTTCTCTGCCAATCGTAGGCTGTTGCTGCGACGAACACCCTCCACTGCCAGACTCTGTGCTGCCAAAGCCGCCTCCGCCTTTGCGGCCCGCTCGGCTGCCTCCATGTACTTCCGCATCAAATCCGACTGCTGCTCCGCCTCCGTGGCTCTTGGTTTTACCACCTCGTCTCGGCTCTCGCCCACCTCCACATACTCCAGCTTGCGGATGATCTCCTCCCGCTGTTCGGGTGTCTTGGAGCGCCTTTGTGGCCGGACCGGCGAGAGGGAGTTGTTCCTGCTCACGGAGCGCCTCTCCGGTGGCTTGGGCACAGCCGACGGTGGGGGTGGAGGAGCCCCTCGAATGGGAGCTGCCACATAGCCCTGGGGCGTTTTCTGCACTCGGGTTCTGCGATGCACTTCCTCGGCAGTCTCGGCATCGGAAGAGCTGAACTGCGTGGATGACTCCTCGTAGCCACTGCTGCGATTCCGGACACGGCCCTTGGGCGCCTCGTGGCGCTGCAAGCGCAGGCTGTGGATGAGACGACGGCGCTCTTCCTCGTCCTGCGGGAGCTGTATACGATCGCTCAGCTTGCGGTAGCTCTGCAGCAGGCGCTTCCGCTCCTCGTTGTCCAGTTGCTGGCGATTGCGGAGCTTGTGCTCCCGCTTCTCCCGCTCAAAGATTCGCTTATCAGCCTCAAACCGCCGCCGTTCGTCCTCGAAACGCTGCAGGTTCTGCTCCAGCCGGGTGAGGGTATCGTGTTTCTGTCCCAAACCGGCCACCGCTCGCTGCTGGCTACTGCTCCCTGTGGTCAGCTCGCTCTCGCTGGACTCCTCCTTGTGGCGCGGCGACGACAAGCTGCGGTGTTTGATCAACTGGTGAGCATCCGGACTGCTCAGCTTCTCCGCCTCCCGCGGCTGCGATTGACTGCGTGCCGAGGCACTGGCAAAGGTTTTGTCCCGGCGCCGCAAAATCTTGCTCTCGTGGGCGGACAGCGAGCCCGGCGGCCGGATCTGCATGCGCACCATCTGGGGCGAGGGGTCTGGTGGATACGGATCTGGTTCCGGCGGCTGGACGGGCGTTGCTTCGCGGTGACTGCGTCCAAGGCGACGACGTTGGCGCTGCGGCTGCTCCATTTCCTTGTCCAGACGAGCGTGTGTGCTACTTTCGCGATCTATCTTTGTGCTGGCACTCATGTTCTGGTCATCTATTTTTAACTGGCCATCAAGGCATTCATATTCTTGGGTAATTATATCACTTTGAAATTGCAGTCTTCTTTCCTGGTGGCCTATAGGCGTTACGAGACTATTTCAGATTGGTAAAAGTTATACTTTGTACCGGTGAAATGTACGTGAAAAATTTTTGAATGTTTCAATATCTTGGAGATGATTCTGACAGCCGCTAATACATATAAGAATGTCTGTATCTAATGTTGTATCTATAGATGCCAGAATCTCGGCCGCGTTCTATGAAATTTTCTCTTTCGGTGCTCGGAGTCTCGACCACGACTGGCGTCCCAACTGCTGAGAGCGTTTAGAAAATTCAAATTTCCAATTTAATTTTGTTTTCTATACTTTTGGTGGATCAGCTGTTTTCTATTGCTCTACACATGTCAGCAAAGATAGAGATTCTCTTTATTTTTGAGGCAGTCTTCTGAGATTATTTGTGAATTTCGAATCTCCCAAAAGATGTCATTGCACTTTTCTACAAATTACCCATCCCAATTATAGAATGGACGCATTCCGTAACTCATAAGGAATTAGTGGCTTTCCTTATCAAAATGTAGAAACAAAGAAGCCCCAAGGACTGCGGATATATTCGACAGATTTATGTTTGTAAACTCCAACTAATACGATTTTCCTTGAAATTTATATGAATTCGGATTTCGAGAAGGGGTTTGTTTAAAAAGCGATCTTTTTCGAATAGGGGCTTCCTTCCGTTTCACAATATTTGTTTCATTCTGGTATATAATTTGTATAATTTGCAGCCACTCATTTGCAGCAATAAACAAAATTTATATTTTTTTTGGACTTGTCGAACTGTTAGTGACGTCATCGTTGCCACAGAGATTTTCGCCACTTCTAAAATTTCACATAAATTAAAAGTTCTGCCAAATTTTCATCAGATACTTCCCGACATCCCCATAACCCTCCACTAGCCCAGATCTGTCGGATCGAACTCTCCACACCCCACTCCCTTCATCAATGAATCGTTGATGACGGATCGTGTTCGCTTTTATGGAATTTAGCAGCGATTTTTCGTTTGTTTATTTTTCGCATTTTCATTCAACATTTCCGAATTGCCTTCGGGATTTGTTTTCCATTTGGGCATGCACCACACCATATTATAGAACTGGTCGGCCTTTCCCTCTGAAATGGCTCTACTAGGCATTATTTTAATGGCACCAACAACAGGTTTATGGAAGCTAACTAATATTGAATGTTTCCATTTTAAAAGCACAAGTTTATTGGATTTTGTGGCCCAATTTCTGACGTTTGAAAAGTATATTTTCGATAGACAAATTATTGAAATGCTTCATGTTGCGCCATTGGGGGAACTGTGTAATATTTTTGTGACAGTCGAGGGCCTAAAAATAAATAAATACTACATTTTCCGAGAATTGATGCCCCATATGACTCACAGGGCGTATGAGCAATGTAGCCGCTAGGATGCTAAGTGACTCTCCATTTCTAATTAACTTATGCACAAAATAAGCCACAAACGCATTTTATATTCAATGAATGGTGTGCTTACATTATGTGCCAATTTTGACAAGTCAATTGCATTCGGAACTCTCACAATACCATTTTCTGTTTACAAGACATATGGACGATTTTAGTATTTGAAGAAAAGTCTGTCATCGTACTGAGGCGAAAATTTTGGCAAAGTGTGTTAATTGCTTTTGCGAAGATGTGAGTGGAAAGCCATCCACACTTGCAAATTTATGATTATTTATTTTTATTTTTCTGTTGTTGGAAACTTGTCAAAAGTGGACGAAGCAGCCGGAATTTATTGACTATAGAAACCGCTTTCCATTTCCCCCATTCATACATATACAGTACGTATCTATAGGTTGAGTCGACTGAATACAAAGGAATACAGAAATACAAATTTCAGGTAACATGTTAAAAGATTAAAATTACTAATTAAATCATTAACTAACCGCACAATAAATATCAAAATTATAGTCCGTAAAATTATTTGCAACAAGTTTTTTCGTTTGTGTTCAAAAAAAAAAACATTTTATGGCAACAAATAAAAAATATAATCAGATTATAAACGTATGCATCTCACAGTTAGGCCGTGCAGAATTATTTATAAATCCCAATTAAGAACGGTGACAAAATTCCAAAGAATTCGGATCTTAAAACTGTCTGTGCGAGAAGAGACACAAATTTATGTTCGCACACAAGTGCCGGCGTTGCGAATATATTTAAAACTATTTCCATCTTTTGTGTCACACTATTTTTTGTTGGTCTAATGAAGAAGAACGAACATAAATATATATTGTCTAGCGTCCAAACTAAACATATTCGGCGTGGGCGTTTTTGCACCCGCAATACACTTAGACGTTACGAAAACATTCCCCCTGGAATGGTCTATACTCCTTCACTCACCTATGGTTGTGTAGATGGTGGAGCTATAAACCATGGCGTTGAAGAAGGTCCATGGATTCTGTTTGTCGACCAGGCCATTTCGCATCACCGAGTCTATCACAGGAGAATAGTCGTTCATAATATCTACCATTTGTCCAGGAAAGAGGGTAGAATTCAACTAAAATAATCGAGAAAAGTTTATGAATTATGCATCATATATAGGTAAGAACTTTTCTGCTTACCGCTGGATCCTTGGCCAAATTTAATATTTTATTAAAAAAGGCTATTCGGTCGTTGTGAAGTTGTGCTATTTCAGCAGCTTCCTTCCGATCTGAAACGTAAATATTTCTTCACTTTTAGGATACTTTGGTGGACTTCTTAAAACTTCAGAATCATGAGAACAATACCATAAACGTCCCTAATTTTTAAAAAAGTTACTTCTCCGGGATGTTTAATGAATGAACCGTTTCTTAATCATTTCCGCTTGTAGGTTTCAAGTTTTTAAACAGTAGTGTTTCCCCCCAGCTCTGACTCATTTGATTCTACCAAAAAGATTCACCTGTTCCGTGTATTTGGATACTGATTTAGGCGCCTGCCAATTTGACGGGAATGTTTTTTTTACGATTACAATACAACATCAACGTACGGCAGGTGTACGAGTATTCCGGCTGCTTTGTTTACTGTTTTCCAAACAATTGCTTGCCGAAGAGCTTGATAAGCAAACAAAGCATTCAGTGCACTTGTACACACGTCCGGACATCTAATTTCGGACCAGTATAATGAAATTGTCTCAGGGATTCATTCATTTTTCATTTTAAACTAAATAAACTTCTCAAAAGTGGAATCCAAAGACTCACATTCGATGGCCTTGAAGATGAGGGCTCCGGCAACGTTGTAGAGACCCAGCACTATGATAAGGAACATGTGAGTGAACCAGCGGCGCGACAATTTACTGAACTTATTGTACAAGCCGTAGGTGAACTTCTCGCCGAAACTCATGCCTGTCTTGGTGAGATCGAGGAAGCCCTCGTAGCCCTTGGTCATGAAGTTGTCGTAGCCAAAGGGATTGGCCACTGGTGGCCAGTAGGGCCCCTGGGTTCCGTTGCCCGTGTAGTTGGTCTGTGATGTGTAGGGCGGCTGGGCGCTGGGCGGCATGGATGCCTGGCTCATGGCGGAGCCACTGTTCAGGTTGTGGATGTTGATCCGCGGCGGTCGGTTTGCTCTTCGCGAGGGCGGCGGTGTGATGGGGGTGGGCGCGGGCCCGGAGGTTGGACTTTGATTCTGCGACATGGTACACGGATTCTGCACGAACTGACTGCTTTGGACAACAAGTTTTAATTTTATTTAGCCCTAGACTTATTTAAAACTTTGATCACTTAAGACTTTGGACACTGTCAGGTCATCATTTCACTCTTCTTCACTTCCAAACTACATATATACTTATATTTTCGTATTATTTTTAAGTTTATAAGTATAATTCCCGTTTGCGATGTCTTGGCGCCGGGTATTTATTTTTCTCCGCGTATTTTCCCGATGCTGGCTCTTCTCGCCTCCGCCGTGAACTGAACTGAACTGAACTAAAGCGAGCATTTGGCCAACATGGGGCTGTTGTCGCTGCTGATTTTGTTCCGCCGCTGCTTTTTTCGCCGAACCTCCACTGCCGATAATGACGACATCAATGGTTATGAGCTCACGGGCCTCTATGCTGTCTACATCTTACCAAGGAAATTTGGCTCTGATCTCACCCGGTGTGGCTTATTATCTTTTAATTGTTGGTAGGGTCGCGTCGTATACTGGTTTTGGTTTAGTAACGCGCTGACCCAAGCACACATACTTTGCTACAAACATATTCCAGTTCATATGTTATTTATACAAATGTTTTCGCATTCCCATTTGCTCGAACTGGCACTAATGAATTTGACAGTTTATCAGCATCATTATTCATTATTCTGAATCTCCCTCTTTCCTTATCGCACTCAGCCGAAATCCAAGTCGACGCTACTTCCTCCAACAGTAAATGTTCTTCTTCAAAATTTTAAGAATTTATCTTTTATATTTAAAAAGCATTTAAGAATGGGAAGAGTGTTGCCATGCCTTCGCTGTGAAACACAATGAGAAATTAACCAAGATATATACTTGCTTGTGGGTCAAAATGGGAATCTTGGATTTTACAAGGGGTTCCATCAGAAAAATTTGAAAAATCGGGGTCGAAAATTTTGTTCCGAGGTTTTGATGCAGATTGAACGAGAATCGAGCTACAAATCGATCAAGGTATCCCGCTCAAGGATCTGATAGAAATTGGCCAAGATATGGACTTGGTTGTGGGCCAAAATGGGAATCCTGGATTTTACAAGGGGTTCCATCAGAAAAATTTGAAAAATCGGGGTCGAAAATTTTGTTCCGAGGTTTTGATGCAGATTGAACGAGAATCGAGCTACAAATCGATCAAGGTATCCCGCTCAAGGATCTGATAGAAATTGGCCAAGATATGGACTTGGTTGTGGGCCAAAATGGGAATCCTGGATTTTACAAGGGGTTCCATCAGAAAAATTTGAAAAATCGGGGTCGAAAATTTTGTTCCGAGGTTTTGATGCAGATTGAAAGAGAATCGAGCTACAAATCGATCAAGGTATCCCGCTCAGGGATCGGATAGAAATTGGCCAAGATATGGACTTGGTTGTGGGTCAAAATGGGAATCTTGGATTTTACAAGGGGTTCCATCAGAAAAATTTGAAAAATCGGGGTCGAAAATTTTGTTCCGAGGTTTTGATGCAGATTGAAAGAGAATCGAGCTACAAATCGATCAAGGTATCCCGCTCAAGGATCTGATAGAAATTGGCCAAGATATGGACTTGGTTGTGGGCCAAAATGGGAATCCTGGATTTTACAAGGGGTTCCATCAGAAAAATTTGAAAAATCGGGGTCGAAAATTTTGTTCCGAGGTTTTGATGCAGATTGAAAGAGAATCGAGCTACAAATCGATCAAGGTATCCCGCTCAAGGATCGGATAGAAATTGGCCAAGATATGGACTTGGTTGTGGGCCAAAATGGGAATCCTGGATTTTACAAGGGGTTCCATCAGAAAAATTTGAAAAATCGGGGTCGAAAATTTTGTTCCGAGGTTTTGATGCAGATTGAAAGAGAATCGAGCTACAAATCGATCAAGGTATCCCGCTCAGGGATCGGATAGAAATTGGCCAAGATATGGACTTGGTTGTGGGCCAAAATGGGAATCCTGGATTTTACAAGGGGTTCCATCAGAAAAATTTGAAAAATCGGGGTCGAAAATTTTGTTCCGAGGTTTTGATGCAGATTGAAAGAGAATCGAGCTACAAATCGATCAAGGTATCCCGCTCAAGGATCGGATAGAAATTGGCCAAGATATGGACTTGGTTGTGGGCCAAAATGGGAATCCTGGATTTTACAAGGGGTTCCATCAGAAAAATTTGAAAAATCGGGGTCGAAAATTTTGTTCCGAGGTTTTGATGCAGATTGAAAGAGAATCGAGCTACAAATCGATCAAGGTATCCCGCTCAGGGATCGGATAGAAATTGGCCAAGATATGGACTTGGTTGTGGGCCAAAATGGGAATCCTGGATTTTACAAGGGGTTCCATCAGAAAAATTTGAAAAATCGGGGTCGAAAATTTTGTTCCGAGGTTTTGATGCAGATTGAAAGAGAATCGAGCTACAAATCGATCAAGGTATCCCGCTCAAGGATCGGATAGAAATTGGCCAAGATATGGACTTGGTTGTGGGCCAAAATGGGAATCCTGGATTTTACAAGGGGTTCCATCAGAAAAATTTGAAAAATCGGGGTCGAAAATTTTGTTCCGAGGTTTTGATGCAGATTGAAAGAGAATCGAGCTACAAATCGATCAAGGTATCCCGCTCAGGGATCGGATAGAAATTGGCCAAGATATGGACTTGGTTGTGGGTCAAAATGGGAATCTTGGATTTTACAAGGGGTTCCATCAGAAAAATTTGAAAAATCGGGGTCGAAAATTTTGTTCCGAGGTTTTGATGCAGATTGAAAGAGAATCGAGCTACAAATCGATCAAGGTATCCCGCTCAAGGATCTGATAGAAATTGGCCAAGATATGGACTTGGTTGTGGGCCAAAATGGGAATCCTGGATTTTACAAGGGGTTCCATCAGAAAAATTTGAAAAATCGGGGTCGAAAATTTTGTTCCGAGGTTTTGATGCAGATTGAAAGAGAATCGAGCTACAAATCGATCAAGGTATCCCGCTCAAGGATCGGATAGAAATTGGCCAAGATATGGACTTGGTTGTGGGCCAAAATGGGAATCCTGGATTTTACAAGGGGTTCCATCAGAAAAATTTGAAAAATCGGGGTCGAAAATTTTGTCCCGAGGTTTTGATGCAGATTGAAAGAGAATCGAGCTACAAATCGATCAAGGTATCCCGCTCAGGGATCGGATAGAAATTGGCCAAGATATGGACTTGGTTGTGGGTCAAAATGGGAATCTTGGATTTTACAAGGGGTTCCATCAGAAAAATTTGAAAAATCGGGGTCGAAAATTGTTTTCCGAGGTTTTGATGCAGATTGAAAGAGAATCGAGCTACAAATCGATCAAGGTATCCCGCTCAAGGATCGGATAGAAATTGGCCAAGATATGGACTTGGTTGTGGGCCAAAATGGGAATCCTGGATTTTACAAGGGGTTCCATCAGAAAAATTTGAAAAATCGGGGTCGAAAATTTTGCTCCGAGGTTTTGATGCAGATTGAAAGAGAATCGAGCTACAAATCGATCAAGGTATCCCGCTCAAGGATCGGATAGAAATTGGCCAAGATATGGACTTGGTTGTGGGCCAAAATGGGAATCCTGGATTTTACAAGGGGTTCCATCAGAAAAATTTGAAAAATCGGGGTCGAAAATTTTGTTCCGAGGTTTTGATGCAGATTGAAAGAGAATCAAGCTAAAAATCGATCAAGGTATCCCGCTCAAGGATCGGATAGAAATTGGCCAAGATATGGACTTGGTTGTGGGCCAAAATGGGAATCCTGGATTTTACAAGGGGTTCCATCAGAAAAATTTGAAAAATCGGGGTCGAAAATTTTGTTCCGAGGTTTTGATGCAGATTGAAATAGAATCGAGCTACAAATCGATCAAGGTATCCCGCTCAAGGATCGGATAGAAATTGGCCAAGATATGGACTTGGTTGTGGGCCAAAATGGGAATCCTGGATTTTACAAGGGGCTCCATCAGAAAAATTTGAAAAATCGGGGTCGAAAATTTTGTTTCAATGTTTTGATGCAGATTGAAAGAGAATTGAGCTACAAATCGATCAAGGTATCCCGCTCAGGGATCGGATAAAAATTGGACAAGATATAGACTTAACTACCGAATAAACTGAAATACAGATAAATGGTTCTATTAAGATAAAGATAATGTGTTTCTTTAATTCTTTAATGTTTTTAATTTTCTCGGAATGGCTTGAGTGTACAAATATTTTCATGAATGAGCAAAATAAAAATATAAAATGTGATAATGTTATATGTATGTGTGGTAAGATGAAATATACATATGTGTGGTTTGTACATAGGTGTGGTTTGACGATATTTAGTTTATATTTATGTAAATATAGTTGGGTAATACATTTAAAGTTTAATTTTATATCTTAAAAATACAAATTAATATACTCTTGGAAGGTTTTGTATGGTTAGGTAGTAAATTCATTTGAAACATGTTGTTCTTTAAAAAAGTTTGCCAACACAGGGCAAGCTTTTAAAGAAGTTCCAGTAATTTAAGAAAACTTGAGGTAAAATAAACTTTCTCTATTTTCTTATCTTCAAGATAAACTAAATGAGATTGTATTCTTTATGTTGTTTCAACTTAATTAACTAATTTGACCTCTTCAAGCTATCGAACAGGTCTTCCTCTACCACGTTAACGTTAGCTACCACGTTAGCAGCCACACGTGGACGTTTGAAAGTAACATTATTTCTGTTTTTTTGAGAACTCTGTAATAAATAAGACAGTCAATTAAAAAATGTTTATTTAAAGCTCATCAGGAAATACTTACTGATTCCTCATTGTCACTTTCGAAATCGGAAAGATGTTGTTCGATAACAACTTTGCGCCGAATAGGCTGCCTTTTGGAAGTGCTCGGGCGAACAATAGCTTCATTTTTCACAACTTGGAGCTTTGGAGTTGGTTTCTGTTGTGGCGTTGATTTAATAATATGTACTGGTTTCAGGATGGACGCCTTTCCAACAGATTGATCGCATACGCTCCCAATACGATTAATTTTAAATGTAAGCTCTGCTATAACAGCCTATTTCAAAAGATTTTGTTTAATAAAGTTATAAAAAAAATATTAATACTTGAGGATAACCTACATCTTTATCTTGTTCTTTTTTCTCCCAGTCGGCGCTCTTCTGTGCAAATGCTTTCTCCAAATCCTCAATTTTTTTCTGCAAAGTAAAGAATTAATTTTTTAAAATTAAAATTTTCTAATATATATTCTTGGTCTACCTTATAGTTTTTCTCTTGCGTCTCTAATTCCCTTGCAAATCTTTTCTCTGCTGCCGAGAAACTATCAATGACTTTCTGCTTGTCGTCATTTATAATTTCTATATCTTTTGTTAGAGCTTCTTTCTCAGAAATCAAATCTTGTAATTTATGATGGTTTTCATTGATTAGTTTATCTTTTTCACCAAGTACTTCATTCAGAGATATATTAAGTTGAGCTTCTCTCTCATACTCAGTTACTTTATTTTGGTACTGATCATTAAGCTCAGAAAACTCTTTTTGCAGAAACATTTCCTGCTCTTCCCAGTTTTTGTTTCTGAGTTCAATTTCATTCTCAAGAGACTTTTTAAAATCCTACAAAGAGAAAAAAATATATATTTATATATACAAATTTATTAAAAAAACCTATAGTTTACCTCAAGATCTTGCTGTTTCAACTTTATTTCGTCTGAAAATCTTTTCTCGGCAGCGGAAACATTTTCAACAATCGTTTTCATTTCACCTTTCATGATTTTCATATCATTTGTAAGAGCTTTATTCGCCGTAACAAAGTCTCGTAATTTTTTACGGGTATCATTGATTATAATATCCTTTTCTTTGACGACTCCTTGCAGAGATTCATTTAGCTCATGTTCACGTTGTATTTCGCCTTCTAATTCTGTAACTTTAAGTTTGTATTGATCATGAAGCTCAGCAATCTGTTGTTGCTGCAAAGCTTCCTGATCTTGCCAGGTCCTAGTTTTCAGTTCCATTTCGTTCTCCAGGGACTTCTTCAAATCCCTTAGTTCATGGCATTCGCTATCTAGATTGTCCAGCTTGCTTTGAATTTGAGAAATCTGTAGTAATCCCTCTTTTTCGACCTTTTCTTTATCCTCGAGTGCCTCGGCAGCAGCTTTTATGTGCTTATCTATATCAGATCGGAGCTCCCAAATAATTTCCTATTCAAAATATTTTTATAACATCAATTGAACTCAATCTAAGCTTAACTTACCTCATTGGTTTCTTTCATAGTTTTTATCTCCTCCGCTGCTTTTAATCTAAGTTTTTCTAATTGCTCTGCCAATTTATCATTGCTCTTGATTAGCTCCTCCCTCTGCACCTCAAGTTCATTAATATAGACTTGTAGCGAAATTTGCGCCGTATCTTTTTCTACAGCTTCTGTTTTTAAACAATTAATTTCATTATTGACTTGTTCCAACTGTTTGTTTCTTTCGTCAATCATCATTTCTAATTCTACATAGTGTAATTTGTGATTGTTCAACTCGACGTGAAGCTTCTCTAAAGCATCATTATGTTCGTTTCCGAGTCTTTCCAAGGATATGTTCAGCTCAGCACAAGTTTTATTATTGGCATCAAGTTGGGATTTCATTTCCCTTATTTCGCTCTGAAAAGATTAAAAATAAATGTATTAAAATGATTTTTGAGGCAATCCTTGCACAAATACCTCTAAATCCTGTTTCTGTAGCATTACTTTTTCCATCTCCAATGCAGAACTTTTTAGTTCCTCAGATATGTTGTTATTTAGAGTCTTAAGTTGCTTTATTTTCTCTCGATTTTCGGCAAGTTTCGCCTCGTAATTTTTCTTATCATTTTTTATTGAAATGGAGAGTTTTCGATTGGTCTCTTTCATATTGTTCATCTGAAAAGCGAGAATATACTGAATTTTAACCTATGATCTTATCTTATTATTATTTATTACCTCTCGTTCGTGTGAAGCATTCTGATTGCTAAGATCAGCGTTAAGCTGATCATAAAGTGATTTTGATTTTTTAAGCTTGTTAAGGAAGTGATTTTCGGTTTCTAGGAGCTGTTGGTTAGCTTTACTAAAGGTTGTCTCCAGTTCTTCGTAATCCTTTTGCAACTTAGCAAGATTATCTTTATATTCCTCCGATTCCACGTACATGGAGTTCATCCTTGAAAGTAAATTAGCTAAATAAAAATTAATATTAAAAAGATTTTACTTACTGTTTTGTCAGCTCATTTATTTGCACATCTTTATGCAAAGAGACTATTGTTTCCTTTTGTGCATTGTGGGCCACCTTCCTCCCAAATCTCTTAATATCTGCCACAGAGGCGTTATGAACCGTGACGAAGGATTTAAGCAACCTTTTAATGCTGACCGAGATTTTGTCTGGAAGGCACAACACGTCCGGCCTGTGCTTTATCTGTGTGGCGTCCTCTTGTTGTCGCGGTATTACGATCTCTCTTTGGACATTTTCTATACGCTTCTTCGACTGATCCCATGATGGCAGTGGGGATCCTGATCTCTTTGTAGCTTTTCTGGGAACTTCCATAGTTTCAGGAAGTTCCTGAAAATGATTTTGTGCATTTATTTCGCTCTTTGGAGTCTTTTCTTTTTTCTTGTCATTTTTTTTTAATATCTTGAAAAATGGTTTCGAAGAAATCTTTTTGTTCAAAACTTTTTCTCTGGCTGGAGAGGATATATTTTCATCTCTTGAAAAAAGGGGACCAAGGTGTAAAGCTGTTTCTTCTTTTGTTTTTTGTGACCCTAAGTGTTCTTGTTTATGGCCGCCCATTTTAAAAATCTTAATTGGCGGTGGACTTTCTGGTCGGCTTCTTTGGGGCGATTCTTCTCTTGTCAGAAACTCATCGGAGTTGCTTTTTTCGAAAAAGTAAGGGGGGGATTGGCTTCCTAATCTCTTTCTCATTGGAGAATCAGTTATATAATGGTTTTCTTTTTCTAAAAACTCAGGAATCTTCTGGGTATTTTGCAGTTTTCCTTTTTTTTTAATCTTTACAGTGAATTCACGAAGTGGGGGAGTTATTGGTGATTCCATGAACTTTTTCGGGTGAAAATCTTTGAATTTGTTTGATAAATTATTTGAGTTTAGGTAGTTGAAACGATTGGGTTTAAATGTTCCCTGGTCTTCAAAGATGGACGGAGACCCACCTCGTTGACTTGGTGTCTCAACTGACGGCGGCGTCTCTGTGTAGCTTTCTGGGGGCGACGGGGGAGTGTCGTTCAGACCTATGCATAGAAAATATATAGAAGAGTACAGTTACTTTTTGGAGATTTGATCGCCATCTTAATCTCACCTGAAGTTGAATCTCCAATAACATTTTCCGAATCCTTGTGGGCTTTGTTTCTCTTTGACTTTACTTCACTTTCTTTCCTTTTTCGTTCTTTTAAGATGGAGTGCTCCACTTGAAGTGGCGAAGGCGACCTTTTTCTTTTCAACATATTGCGAGTCATCATTGCCTACACATAGTCACTGAAGCAAGACTTTCTAATTTACTCATTAAACATTAATCAATATAAATAACTACTTACAAAACTTTAATTTCAATGTTTTCCCAGCAACGAATTCAAGAAAAGGTTGCGCGTCCTTTCAAAGAAAACAAACGGTAAATTCTCACACACAAGCAAATGGCTATGGCGTATGTCGTTAAAATACTGGGATTTTAATATTTAGAATGGTATTCCCTTGACCTTTATTGAAAACATAAAAGTTAAATTATTATAAGGTTTAATTTTTAATAATTTAACTAAAGCTTACATGAACTTGTTTAAATTTATCACGCAATTCCGGCAGTTGCATTTTTAAATAGCTTGAACATCTGGTCATACTATTCTTAAGTGTTGTCTTACGCCGTATCTTAGAATCCCAGCGTTTACCAACACACAACCACTTTGATTACTTCTACTACATATGTACATATAAATTAAGAAAAATAACACCGTAACATGGAGGAGAACGAGGTGCAAACGGAGACCAGAGGCACCGCGGATGCCAGCAACAGTAAGACCCCGAGCAACAGGCGACTTCGATACTAATCACGTTTCCTCCGCAGGCGGCGATGACGCGACCAGATTGACCCTTCTCCAGGGAGAGATTCGCAAAATGCAGAATGAGTTTAACACTCAGCGTGCGAAGATGCGGGAGCTGTTCATGCAGAAAGAGGCGGAGTGCAGCCAGGTCCAGACGGAGCGTCGACAACTTCAGGTGGAGCTGGACGAGCTGAAGACGCATCTAATGGTGGCCGACCTAAAGGCTCAGGAAGAGATTTCCTCACTGCAGCAGCTGGTGCAGGACACTATTGAGGAGTCGGCGCACTATAAGGGCGAGCAGGAACGCCTAAGATTAGAGCTAAGCAGATACCAGCAGGCACAATCATTGGTCCAGCACCAGCCGTCTGAGTCATCCGGCGGCATAGCTCCACAAATGCTGAATCAGGTTAAGAAAACGCTGGGATCCGTACGAAAACTAGGAAGTGATTCTCTGAATAGTAGTTTTCAGCAAGAAGAGGACAACAGAGCATCAAGCAAGGGGAACGGAAAGCAATATGTAAGAGTGCTGGAACCTGACTAATTTTATTTCTTATTTAAGTATTCATTTCTTATAAACAAACTTTTCCTATCAAGAATTCTATCTGGAAAGATAATCACATTGATTACAAAACTTGGTAGCTCTTCAGCTGAAAATTAATCTTGAAAATTTTATTAGTCCAATAGTCATAGTCTTATCTCAAACAATTGAAATGAATCGAATTAAAATAACTTGTATTTCAGGCTCCAGAAGACGCAGAGATGCTACATTCCATAGTAGAACAGCTGCAGGAAGAGATGAAGGCTCTAAAAGTCAAACTACGCGAGCAGGATGAGCAGCTTCAGGCCAAGTCAGCGAAGGTGGAAGAGCCACAGACTGATTCTGGAGCCGCGCATAAATCCACATCAATGGATGCGACCGAGTCGACCTGCGAAAGCTGTCCCTTGGCAGAGAAGAAGGCTGAAGAGTTGAATGCAGCCATTAAAAAACAGCAGAAGCAAGTGGATCTCCTGCAGAAGCAGTTGGTCGAATCTCGTGAGACCCTGGCCAAGGAGGCGGCACTGCGGAAAGATCTGGAAGACCAGTGGCAAGAAAAGCGCGAGGCCCACAAAAGTGAAGTACAAAGTCTGCGCGAGCAGGCCAAAACCAATGAACAGCGACTGCTGGACATGCAACAAAAGTTTCTGGAGACCAAGGACGAGGTAATGAAACAGATACAAAGAGTCACTGATGACAGGGAACGCGTCAACAAGCAACTGGAAACGTTGCAGGCGGACAACGACTTTCTGTCTGGCCATTACCTAGCCACATCTCTGGAAATCGAGAACCAGTACATCAACCTACCAAACACAGTTGATGAGCTGCAGGAGTTAATGCTGCGCCAACAAAGCGAGCTTATCCAAGCCCGAGTCAGCAGTGAGTACGAACGACAGAAGCGCGTGAGTACGCTGGATGAGATTCAAATACTGCGGGCCCAGCTCGAGGAGAGCAACAACGAACGCCGAGTCTATAAACGGAAAATGCAACTGGATATCAAGTCGCTTCAGTACGTGTTTACTCGCATATTTAGATTTAAAATCAAGATAATGTTTTCAATCCAATTTTCAGGGACAGAGTGACGGAGCACTTGGTTACGGTGCAGGCTCACGAGACGACCAAGACTCAATTGGAGCGCAAAGAAGCTGAGCTCAATAAGCAGTTGTCCGAGTGTCGAGTAGAAATTATTGAGCTGCAAGAGGCCAATGTAAGTGACGCTTTCTGGTAATATCAGTCGAAATAAATGATTTTTATATACCCCTTAGGAAAAGTACGCAAAAACCAACTTAGAATACAAGACGAAGATTAAAACCCTGCAGGAGGAATTGTCCACCATGGAGACCGTGCAAAAGGACTTTGTTAAACTATCTCAAACTCTTCAAGTAATTAGTGTATAAAAATATTTATTATTATCTTAATGTTTACAATTTGTATCGTTAAAGATGTCATTGGAGGAGCTGCGGCACGCCGACACAGAGGTGCGCTGGCAGGATGATGATGACGTGAACAACTGCCCGACGTGCAATGCATATTTCACGGTCATGGTGCGCAAGATTCATTGCCGGCACTGCGGCCACATTTACTGCGATAAGTGTCTTACGAAAACGGTGCCATCGGGGCCACGGAAACGAGTGGCTCGTGTCTGTGATATCTGTCACACGCTGCTCACGCCCAACACCGCTCCCTACTTCAGTCAAGGGCAGCCTCCGCAACAACAGCAGGGTCAGCAGGAGTCCAGCTAAGCGGCCGGCTCCAGGGCATAGGTATTTTCTATTATGTAAACTACGACTACGGATTAGATGATACTCCTCCTTTCGATTTTGTTCAATGCTCCGCCATTACTTTTGAGGTCAAACCTTATTATTTGTCACACAAGATCGAGTCATATCCACGCTCCATTGCGCCAATGTTTATTTTCCAAGTTTAATGTACCTTTTTTCTGCTCTATGTGAGTTAACTATGTTAGCTTTTTTTCGTAGGTAAGTTTCATTATTAAATTAAACTCAAAGCAAATATACAAATTACGAACAAAATTGTATATGTTGGTCGGCTTATTTGAACCAATTTCGCCTGCAATGGAGGGGTTAATTGTTAGATCATTTGTATAGTTCATGGTCATGGTACAAGTATGTATGTATTTTGGGGCTTGTTTATTCAAAAATATTTTGTAAATTATTGTTAACAATTGTATTTGTGTCTTCATTTGGTTGCGAGGATCTAGGATAGGTTAGGTATTTACTACATATATGTATAAAAGTAATAACGTTATCGGGCATGCCCAATTAAATTCTGTATTTACAAACTCTCACTTCAACTAACGCATAACGAAAATCTAATACTGCAACCTCCGCATTCAACGAAAGGACTGAAAAACCACAAACACTATAAACACAGGCACGCACATGGATGAATCACATTCTCGTTGGGAAGCAATGATTGGGCGCTTGACACAGAGTATCTGCAAAAGAAGAGAACTGATTAATGATCGGGAAAATGTATAGATGTTGCTAATACCCTTACCTCACCACAAAATAGGAGTCACTACAAGAGCCAGGATGACCGCTGTTGCAATGCCCACGATGCTGGTCAGTGGAGTAGCTGCATTGGACGGAAAGACATATAATGATCAGAAAAAGTCTTACAAGAATTAAGTTCTAGGCACCAGAAACTGATTGGGATTATCTATATTTACATTCTATAGTTTCCATCAAGCCAGGTATACTGTACATGCGTGTTAGGGAAGTGAGGAGTGAAAGGTTAGGTTAGATATAAAGCAGCCATTGGGGATTCTGCTACATTGACTTGACACCATGGAGCGGTTTAGGGTGATTGTGTTTGGCTTGGCCTGCCCCTGGTGTGTCCTGGATATGGGTCTGGAACCGGTGCTGGGTTACACATAATACATGCCACGACATTCACAAACACAAATTAATCAAAACTGATGACCCAGTTGGCCACTTACACGTGATTCTGGAACTTGAGCGAGCGTTGTGTGGGACACATCTTTTGGATGTTTATTTTGGTCATTTGAAATGTGAATTTTATTTAATTTGTACGAGTCACATAGATGTGCACACAGGAAGGCGAATTCATGGGTACAGACAGTACAGGATGCTGTGTAGATGGTAGACGTCGTATCCTTGCTTCGGGCTCCTGGCAATGCTGTGACTGTGGTGCTTTGGTTCATGGTTCTGGGTACTCGATTGTAATTGGTTGAATTGGCGCGGTATAGAGACGGTTACACAGCGGCAAAGAAAAGGATAGTTTTGTGGAAAAAGAGAGCTTTGCTTAACCTACGGATGAGCTGGTAATGAGCGCTTCGGGATGGATTGTAAAAATTCTATTTCTATAAATCAATTGATGTCAAAGATCTTTGGCTTGGAGCCTGTGATGAGGTGTCGATGGTGAGTGATGGATTGCCGCTGGCCGGCAACTCGCACTGCACATTCAATCACATTCACACGGCACACATTTCTTCTTTTCACCTGCTGGAGCAGCGCCGGTTACCGACATCTCACGGCCGTGCTTGGCCAGCCACTCGATGATAACGCCATTGGACCAGCCAAATCCGGTCTGCACTCCGTACTCGCCGCCACCGCCATGGCCGCCGAACTCCTCGGCATTGTACTGCAAACGAAAAAGGATATCAAAGGACCGCCAGGACTAGGCTAGAGGCACTACATACCTTCTCGTACATGTGGCGGCCGTCTTTGTAAGCCTTGAAGTTGGACTTCACCCAGCGGATGGCCCACTCCTTAGACAGCGCCTTCGCCTCTGGTGTGTTCAGGTTGTTAATACCCTCGACCAAAAAATACTGCATCGGAGCCCAAACGTTGGGCAAGTCCCATTGTTCACCAGTGTTATATAAAGTATTGGGCACTCCGCCCGGGAATGTGTCCAGCTTGTTTTTCTTTATATAGTTCAGGACCTTGGCCGAGATCTTCTCCGAATCTGTAATGTTAAAGGCATTCGCATAGAGCGGTACCAGGTTGGTGGGTACGAAGTAGTCGCGAGACTTCTTGTTAATCATGTCGTAGTCCAGCCAGACGCCAGCCTCTTCGTTCCACAGAACTTCTTGGATACCCTGTAATTGGGAGAGTATGTTTAAGCATATTTTTAGATGACAAATAATGTTTAAAAATATATGAAACCAAACCAAAACCGCAGAATGATAACTCTATCCAGTGTTCATGACTAAACCGATTTGGAATTCAACTTAAAATATGTTTTAAATGTTGGGATAAAACCAGTCATTATAGTCATACTTAAACTTAAACCTAAACTTAAGTTGATAAGTTTTGTTACTTAGAAACTTACTTGCAGAATTTTTTGGGCCTTTTTCTCGTATTCGGTAACCTTTTCGGCGTTATTGTTCTTGGAGTGCAGTTCGGCTATTATCTTGGCATTCATGAACAGTAATGCATTGAGGTCGACCGGCACAATGGACCGGGTCTTGAGGTCAGTGAGATTTCCAACATTGGTGCCGTTGGCGTTGATGAACCAGCGGGAACTGAAATCCATTCCGGACTCGGCAGCAGCCTTGAGCTCCCTGTAGTGGTCCTCCTTTTCTTCTTCGGTTGCAAATGATGCCGCGGATAAAATATCCTCGCGGTAGGACTCTGGACGCGGACCTGTCGAGGCATCCCGGTAGTTCATCAGACTGTGTCCCTTAACCTCCACCGAGTGGTTGTTCATGAAGTATTCGAATTCGTGCTCCAACGCATCTAGAGCTTTGATGCCGAAAGCGATGTCGTTGGTGAAGTCCACGTACGACTTCACCATGGCAGTTAGAAGCGGTGGCTGGGATCGTCCGTAGTAGTAGACGCGTCCTCCGTTCGGAATGTATCCGACACGTGTCACAATCGACAAAAAGTTCTCGATCATACCGCGAGCGGTGTCCTTCATGTCGCTGTAGAGCAGTCCTCGGATGATCCAGTAGGAGTCCCAGTAGTAGAACTCAATGAAACGACCTCCAGGAATAATTACCGGGTTTGGCACAGGGATAATTGAATAATATTGTGGGTTTTTCGACACGTCGTCTTTCATTTTACGGCCTAGCTCCTTCCAGATACTGTTCAGATCCTTTCCCCACTGCTTCAGGTCAGGGTCGTGAATGACATCAAGAAAGCTGGGGCTCTTTACCCAGTCCGCTGGCATATACTCTTCCAGTTCGGTTCCCTTGGGGCTGAAGTAGTCCTGGCAAAACGACCGTATTTGAAAGTCTGTTGCCCAAAAGGTTTAAGTATATTATTTACTTACGTCGACAAACTTTACTAAATCGTCCCGGGAGGGAGTTTGATTTTTGTTCTCCATCATCTTTTCAAAATCCGCGAGGGTCTTATCCGGACTATTTTTGAGCTTCATGTCCACAAAAGTCTTGGAGTCTTCGAAAAGTTGCGCCATTTGGATGGTGTGTAACAGGTTGCCACGGCAGAAAACATCACTTGAAAAATGAAAGTATATATTTTTATTAATAACTTTCTTAATATAAATCATTAAAAATAATTGTAATGTGGTTTGTTGACCTTGGCAAACGAAATATTAATCAGAATCGTGCCTTGAATGCATTTTAAAACGCTGATAGTGCATATAATATGTATGTGTATGGAAGTCAAGTAAAGGAAATATATGGAAATAAATCTTAAATTGTTTAGTCAGCCAGATATAGGAACTATTCCCGGATTTATTTTACGTAACGTGGCTACCATTTAGAAGCATAAAAGCCTTCTATTCCCATAAATTAAGTGACGTCATTAATTAGTGCAAATAATTAACAAATTAATAGTATCCAGATGGTGCCGGTTAAGTGAACACCTGTCTAAATCGACGTCGAATGGAATCTCTTGATCGGATTGAGATAAAGGTAATGCACGAGTATCCAACACGTCACGTTTACGGTTTATGGGATCGAGGAAAGGAAAGCACTCAAGCTGAAAACTCATGTAATACTTTGCATACACGACCCATGGCTTAAAGATCAGAGTCCGGAAGTCTTTAGTCTTTAGACGGTTCGGTTCTATGTATTTCACGAATTAGATCTTTATGATTCGATCACTTACCAACTGGGAAAGTTGTCTCCCTCGAACTCGTCGTCAATGGAGTTCTGGATGATACTATTGTCCTCGATTATAGACTTGCCCTGGCACAAAGCCGCCAGGCAGCACCAGCTCAAAAGGAGCAACTGGCTAGCCACTAACTTGGTCATATTTTATAGGAACTTTGTTCACTTTTCTGCTGTTGGCAATTAAAAAATCACTTGTAAGTACAAATTTATGTTGCTAATCGCCGACTGATTATATCCCTGAGCGTGCAGGATATGCCTGTGATCCCCCGACTTAATCTGAACACAAGCACAACCAGCGCCAGTCAGCGCAAGAATACTTCTAACTGTTTCGTTCGATTCCATTTTTATAAAAAACTACATTAATTTACGACAACGACAACGACGACGACCAGACGACGAAAACGCCGACGAGCAATCGGCTGGCAAACGATCGTGGGGGCAAGGTTGGAACTGGAGCCAAGTCACTGGCAGTGGAGAAGGTGGCGGTGGTGGTGGTGTAGGTGGCCGGGCAGGGGGCACTGGGGTGATTCTAGCGGTCGTGCTTTGGGGGCGCGTTCGGTCTATTTTTAAAAAACCGTCAAAGTGGCCCGAAACAGATACAAGCATAAGCCAGCAGTGCAATCGTATCTATCAGGTTCACTTGCCGCGAGTCTCGTGAACTTGGTCATGCATCTGCTACTTATGGCTGGCTAACTGGAATCGGTCTAGCCGTATCTGTTTCAACCACCTATACTTCAGTGAGGTGGTGCTATGGTAATTGGATAGACTTTTCCAGTGGCAAAGGGCAGGCGATTGGGTTTTTGGCACACCTATACATTACCATACGGATAACTGGCGTATGAATATTCATTATTCTTCGGCTAGACCTTGGATTATATCGGTGTCTAATTATATATCCATAATTATATCAATTAAAAAAGTAGCCTTTCCACCTGGTACCCGCATCATCCGATGCATTACTAGAAGCATTCTACCAATTCTCTCGGCTCTTCAGTCTCCTAACCTTCTGAGGTTCCTTTGTAATGCCAAGGCAGACTTGATAAGGCAGTTTTGGGGATTTTAGGCCTAGTTTTAAATGCTAATTAAGAGCGGCTTACCTAAGAAAATCGTTCTCAATTTTTCCCTGTATCTTATTAACCTGTTTTAGGAAATCCAGATGTGGTACTTTGCAATTGCGGTTAGATAAAAACTGATTTGCATGGCAGTTCACAGCATAATATTATGAAGAAGGGGTTACCGAACACCTCCGAGCAGTGACACGTAAGTTCCAAATAATAAAACGGAATTGCGAGGTTTCGCATGAATGTAGTACGAACTAACGAGTCTTAATTGAACTGATTTGCTGAATAAGGATTGCTTTTTCAAGATTAACATATGGATATATATATAGATTCACACAAGACCAAGATAAGATAAAACGCAAAAGAGCATACGTATGAAAGATTCGCATGGTCAAAGTTTAATTGAATTAAACGTACTGAAATAGATATTTTGGCTTCTGAAGCTTATATTATATTATCAGAATTATCCAGATTAATTTGAAAGTGTGTTAAAGCAACCATAGAGGCATAACGATTGATGTTATCTTCCTTCGGCTTCATTAAACCTGTGATGAATTACTCGCATAATGATCTTTTTTCTGTTAGCCAATGATATAACACCACTCACATCGTGTATAGAGCCCGGGAAACAAAGGGTAGGCAAACAAACAGAACAATTGTGCAATTTAATTTGAACCTTACGGGAGTGAGAAATAGAAACCATAGACCCGAGCCAAGTATTGTTTTTCTACCCTGTGACGACAGCACCTCCAACTAAATCAATGATTTCGCGTCACTAACTGTTGGCTTTTATGATTCCATTAGCATTTAAAAGCCAATAATCTTAGATTTGTCGCATTTACGGATTTGCTGCATTACGGATAAGGGCAGATGAATCAGAGGTCATATATTACTTTACTAACTGGATAAACATTTATCAAAGTTGTAAGTTCCGACCAGTTTAAGCCCAAAGATAGCAAATGTTTGGACAAGTATCAGGGTATTTTTCAACAATTATTCGGATGACAAATAGCCGCATAGCAGCTGAGTTGACTAAATACGTGATAAGCGTTTCAAAACTGTTCAAAACTTTGTGTTTAAGGTATTGCTTTGTTTTTAGTTCCCCCTGGGCGGGGACTTCCGATTCCGCATAGCACGATTTTCAATAATTCCGGCTTCAGTTCTATTTAAGTCATAAAAATGCAACGAGAGACCTCCCTGCGAGATAATACCCGAATTATCGAACAACTAATACTAAATGGGGATTCTTTACTACGTGAAAAAAATAAATGGTTTTTGTAAATGAGCCCTCACACTCCCACCATTCATCCAGTTTATTATGTTTGCCAGCGACATTATGAGGCGTTTATAGAGATTTTGATTATGAGGCCCAATTGTCGTCATCGGTGGAAGCGCTAAGTGCCACAGGTTTCCCCAATGTGACGTCTTTGTTCGAGTACAATGCCGAAATCAACTATAGAATGGATCTCTGAACTCTATTCGAAAAACAAAACTTGCCAAAATCATCCAAGGACAAAATAAGTAGAATTCTACGTAGACCATTTAAGAGGGTCGTTTAAGCGTCGTTTTAAATAGACAGACTAGCTTTAGTTTAGCACGAGCCGTTTAATGGTTGGATAAAAATCTCAAACAGATATTTGAGCTTCACATCGTGGGGTACATTCGATACGGCGTTTTCGAAAACATGAAAGGAAAACGAAGAAACAAATACAAAAACTGGAAATGTAATTAAGAAGCCTGCATCAGGTTGAATTAACTTGTTTTTAGATCTTGTATGATTTGTTTTGCTTAACGGTTCAAACGCAAATGCAAAGGCCTTCTAAAGGTCATTGTATTGCGAAAAAAGGTTTGCAGCATTTTAAGAAAAACCTTGAAACTGTGCCACAGGTCGGAAGACTGCTAGATTAAGAACCATAATTATTTAATAGCCCCAATTGGAATTATGAAGGTGCATGAGCTACTCGACCCACTGATGTACTATCGGGGCTTGGAGTGGACGTGGAATGTTATCCGATCCTACGGTTATCGCAACCAAGACATTGAGTTTAAGATCGTAAATTACGAAGTCGTAATCACTGATTTTGCTGGGACTTTATCAAGAGGATTGTTTATTGAATTTGGGTCCTGAAGTAATCCACTGCTGGAGAGGAAAAGGCCTCCAATTTTAAAAAGTGGCCCTGGCAACCTCTTGAAGTTGAAGAATCAATATCAAATGGCTCACTATACAAGTTCAGGGCAACTGATAATATTCTTCGCTGGTAGAATGCGTCAAGCACTTAGCAAATTAATTTTGACAAAGAAAAAACATCAATTTTAAATTTTAATAATAAAAAATTGAACAGGTTTAGCCGGCTGGATCTGCATTTCTAACTAATCAATTTTTTTGTGACATTATTTTTTTGCAATAAATGTTAAATAACTAATAATATGTATATAAATATGTACGTGTCAGCACGAGACTCGAGACGCCATTAGACTACTAAATAGATATACTCTCATTTTGAGACGCCAGTCCACCTGTCTCTATATAAAATGTTAAGTACACGGGGATCACACACAGATCACTGACACCGCTTGACAGTGAATAAAAATAAAACGAACTCAGAACACAAAACGTAATAAGCCCAGGGAAAAATATCAGAAAAATATCAGGGAAAATGTCAGCAGCAACCACAACAATTTGTATTGAAAATTATAATTTAATTGCTTCTGTATATTCAGCTTGCGGTTTTTGTTTTCCAGGTGTCTGTCTGGGAGTTCCATGCCAAGCTTAAACACAACAAATTTAAATTCACTATATTACATTGCTTTTTCTTTATTATTTAGTTTTTTTTTTTGTATTGTTTTCCAATTAATTTTAACTTTGTTTTCGCATTTCACACACTTTTATTATTGGCAATTTGCCCAGCTGAACTCGAGTTTTTATAACCGGCTCACTATCTTTGCCAGGCACCTGATTACTATATATGCCGGGATTATATATACTTTCAGTTCTAATCAAAAACGGTGCTCGACAGCACCTCGCCGATGCTCAGCGCTTGAAGTCAGATGCCGGACTGCCACGAACCAAACGCTTGGGATTCTAATTTAAGTAAGATTAACTTTGGGAGCAGAACAGATCGGATTTACCAAGTGTTTCCCTTGTGAAGTAAAAGCTTAAACTTCAGCTGTGTACTGATTGAAAAGACTGATGGCAATTAGAGCCATTTTAGAGGAAAAAGTTTTCAAAACACTGCCCCTTTTAAATGCTGTACGACTGACATATTTTTCAAGCTTTAATGGCAGGCAATTATTCAAACGAACCTTTTTTCATAACTTTTATAACTAGAAAAGGCGCCAAAGTCGTATAATTTAGTTAAAATATTTATTTGACAGCATCTTGCAATCGAGTCGATAAGATAGAATCAAACTTAAACCAGCTAAATATTGGCTCAGGCTATGTAAACGCTTTATCGTTAGCCATAACTTTAACAAATCATTTATGATTTAGCACATTACTTAATTACTCCAAAGATAGGACAATTGTGGGCCTGATAAAGTAAATTAAATTGGTAATCTTTGAATACAATAATTTAAAATAGTACTTGAAAGCAGTAATCTTTTGATAATGCCTTATAACAAGTAAAAACTAATATTGATTGATATACTAAAGACTTCCTTTTCAAAAGACATTGTCGCTCACCTTTGATTGGAATATCCTCTAATCACGGTTTTAAATAAGGTTTTCGAGAGGGTATAGAAGCGTGGAAGTCGTGTAAGCTGCTGCATCATGATATGTGTGCTCCAAATATTCACAAATCCGAGTAGAAGCTACAAGTAGCATGGTTATTATAGCGCTGTCTGTTAGGGGCTCAACTGATAAGTAAAGTGCCTGATAATGTATTAATTGCTGCGCTATCTGTGCTAGCAAAGCATTCCCCGCTGCACTCTCTCAGCTATTAATGATGTTTCCATGTATTAACTCTCAGATTTTCGATTTTAGAATTGTTCATAATTTTATTACGTATACGCAACGTATAACACAGACAGGTTACGTTTCAAAATCAACGTGATACAAACGGAAAACGAAAAGCCCATAAAAGCCGAACGTCGTTCGTGTCATACCATCA